ACTATACGCAAAAATAACCCTGACTTCCAGCAACTAGCACAAACAAGCCAGCAATAAATGGTTATTAGTGAAAACCAACCAAGTAGATGTAATATAGTAGGCCATAAGAAGATTATTCAAAATCAACCAGAGAAAAGGATCAAGATAGGCAGACAATAAACAACTGGACGGACATAGAAACATCAAAAAACAGAAGGCGTCAACCATTACGTATAGAAGGCAAGCCAGCTTTTTCCAGTAAAATCATACCCTTCAATATAGGATATAAGTTCTGAATATCAAATTCCTCATAATTATTAAGATAACAACCCTTATTGGCTAACCAATCAGCACACACATTCCCCTCCCGGTTGATGTGAGATATATAATAATTAAGCAAAGTCAGGGCAGTCTTAATTTTTCTAATAAGGTAAAAGTTTTGAGAATTACCAGGCACAACATCATTAATGATATGGACAAGAAGCATAGCATCCACTTCAATCCAAACAAAGTTAAAACCCAACTTAATACAGATATCCAGACCATAAGACAAAGCGTTCAGCTCAGCCATCCCAACATTGGAAAGCTGCAGAGGAGCATCATAAACAGCTAACACATCACCCAAATGATCACGAATGATACCATCCGCTCCAACAAATCTCGGGCCAACAGAACTATCAGAATTCAATTTAATATAAGGAGGTTTGGGTTTAACCCAATTCACAATTATATCAACCGTAATTGTTCTGACAGGACTCAAATTGATACCAAGAGCAACAGCCAAATCTTTATAATTAAGGAAGTTCTTAAAAGAAATCACTTTGTAAGTATAAAGTTGCATAATTTTTCTTTTCACATTAGAAATAATAAGAGAGGCATCCATATTGATCGCCTCGTGTTTGGCCTCATTTCTAGCTTTCCAAATATACCACATAATAAGGATAGGAATTAGATTATGAATATGACCTTTAGAAGTATGGAACCAACTCTCTAAAATCGTAACAATGCTAGTGTGATTGGTCGTAGAATTTTTGTTAGGAATGTTATTGAAATAAGACCAAACCTTCTTAGCAATAATACCATTAACAAAGAGATGATAAATACTCTCCAAATTAGAGCAACATAAGCATTTAGAAATGAGAGTAATACCTTTTTTTTGAAGTAGCTCATCAATCGGAATAAACCCTTTGAGACATCTCCAAACAAGAGTAGAGTAAGAAGTCGGAAAAATACTATGCCAAATAGCAGTAAAAGTAGTTGATTTGTCAAATTTGATTCTAATATTATCCCAAATCTTATTCAACTGAAATTTACCATTAGAAGAAAGAGATAATAAAATTTTATCTTTGCAATTAACTTGTAAAGGAATATTCAAAATAACATCCACTAAACAAAGAGGAATAAACTCCCTAAGTTTTAAAATGTTCCATCTATTCTCCATAAAAAAGGAAGAGACTTTAACAGATTCAATAGTATGCGTATTTAAAAAAGTGTCAATCGACATATTACCCAACCAGTTATCCTGCCAAAAATAAACATCACCAGTACCCAAACCCCATTGAATGAATTGCTCAGCTTCCCATTTAATGTTACACAATATTTTCCAAGTCATAGAATCTGCATTTTTGTAAAAACAAAGACTTGGATGAAAATTATTGCAGTATTTAACATTCATATAACGGGCCCATAAACTGATATTAGATCTAAAGGAAACCCATAATTTATGGGAGAAAGCTTTAGCCGTGTCAGTCAAATTCTTGCAACCTAAACCCCCTTCATTCAAAACCCCACAATTTTTATACCAAGAAGACCAACGTATGCCATTGTTATTGAACTTAGAACCCCAAAAAAATTTGTTTATCATTCTCTCTAATCTAGTGCAAATAGAAACAGTTGGCATTAAAGTATGGAATAGATAAATAGGAATCGAATTAAGAACATATTTTATAAGAACCAATCTACCACCAAAGGATAGAAAGTTAGACGACCAATTATCAAGCTTTTTCTGAATAATAGTAAAAATATCTTCAAAAAGAAAAATTCTCTTTTTACCTTTGTAAATCGGTGTTCCCAGATATTTTATCGATAAATTTTTAGATTGGAAACCATAGACCCTTTGAATAGTGTGAACTCTGTTCTGATTAATCGAGTTGCCAACAATAAAGTTGCTTTTGTCTTTGCTAATAGCTAAACCACTACAATCATGAAAGTCAGTAAGGAATTTCATTAAAAGTTTAACATTCTTAATGGAACCATTCGAAAATAAAATGAAATCATCAGCAAAACTAAGATGAGATATAGGAAAACCACTTATAGTTTGGAAATTAAGGCTAGGGTTCTTAGCATATAAATCATCTAATCCCCTCGATAAATATTCCATAGCAATGATAAAAAGAGCAGGGGAAATAGTATCACCTTGACGAAGACCTTTGGAAGATTTGAAATAACCATGATTCCTACCATTGATAATGACAGAAAAATAACAGTTCTCAACACTATTTTTAATAAGCATAATGAACTTGTTACTAAAACCAAAAAGAGACATCACCTTATAAAGGAAATTCCAATCAAAATTATCATAAGCATTAGTAATATCCAGTTTAAAAATGATGTTACCCCCAATGACCTAGTATTAATATCATGAGTAAGTTCTTGAGCAAGCAAAACATTATCAAAAATACTTCTACTCTTCACAAAACCAGTTTGATTATAAGAAATAATTATAGGCAGGATATTAGTCAATCTATTAGCAATGATCTTAGAATTAAGTTTATTAAAAAAGGTACAAATCATTCCAAGTATTTGCCCCCTCTTTTTTAGGGATAAGGGCAATGTTAATAGAAGAGAAAAATTTCAGATAAGAATTACCTTCAAAGAAATCTTTCACCGCTTCAATAACATCCAACTTAATAATCTCCCATTTATTTTGGAAAATCTTGGTGGTGAACCCATCCGGGCCCACAGTAACATCACCATTTATATCATTAAGAACATTGAAGATTTCATTTTCAGAAGGAATTTGACAAAGCAGCATATTATCAATATCATTAATAAGCATAGGAATAACATTAGAATTCAACTTGATATCATCACAAATAGAGATTTGCATAGTCATTTCATGTTAGTAGTTACTTGTTATAATAGTTGGATCATATTTTTTGAAAAAAAAAAGGATAAAAAAGAATACTGAATTTCACTTCTTTTAATTTTCATTTTAAATTACATTTAGACATTTATTTACATTATTTAAAGTGAAAATCAATATTTATGTTAAAACTATAAATTTTATCCTAATTTACAAGTAAAATTTTAAAAAACCTTAAAATTTTAATTTTAAACAAAAAAATTGGAGCTTCATAAACGAGTCAAGTTCCAGCTTTTCAAACAAGTTGAGTAATAAAACTGAGTTTGAGCTTAATTTAATCGATGAGCATACAAAGAGTTTTGTAATTTGTTGACATTTTACTATGGATTTACTATGTAACTTTCTTAAAAGTTTTAATATTTCTAATTACATTTTCTGAATTGGTGTAAATGTACTGATCATATACTTGAATAGTATAATTTTTGTTTAGTTTTATTTTAATTTCATTTGATTTTTTATATGATATTTATTTGTTTTATTTAAATTTTATGTCCAATTCAACTTGATATCATAACAAATAGATATTTGTATATTCATTATAATAGTTGGATCATAATTTTTGAAAAAAAAAAGGATAAAAAAGAATACTGATCAAGTGATCATGACTTTTACTTCTTATATATTCAACTTTCATTTTAAATTACATTTAGACATTTATTTACATTATTTAAAGTGAAAATCAATATTTATGTTAAAACTATATATATATAATTCTAATTTAGAAGCAAAATTTTAATTTTAAACAAAAAATTTCGAGATTCATAAACCAGTCGAGTTCGAGCTTTTCAAACGAGTCGGTAATCGGGGTGAGCTCGAGCTTGAAATTTATACAACAAGTTCAGTTCGAGCTTATTATATGAGCTCGAGTCGAGCTCAAGCTTAGTATGAGCAAAATGAGCTCAGCACGATAAAGCCACTTCTCGACTTAACTTGACTCGACTCGTTTACACAATTAATTGGCTTGGTTGATCTTCCTCATTAGTGTTTGAAAATAAGTTAATCAAATCATTATGATTTAATGTGTATTAGTGACCCAATCGCAAGGAGAATGAACCAATAAAATAAAATAAAATAAATTATGTCAAGGCATCCTATTAGGAAATGTGTCATGAAATTCAAATATTCAGAGAGCTTAATGCTAACTAATTTCAATACAAATTCATGAAATTCACCTGATGCGTTTTATATTAGAATATCATGACTAGCTAGGGGTGTAAACGAGTCAAATCAAGCTAAAGTGACCTCGAGCTTCGAGCTTGAGCTTGACTTGATTAATTAATCAAGTTCAAGAGCTCCAGCTTTATTTTGCAAGTTCAAGCTGACTCACCAACATATTCGTTTACTATTAAAGAGAGAAAATGATTATAACATGAAATTATAAAAAAAATGATAAAAGAATTATTTAATACAAATAAGTAAAATATAATTTCTTAAATATTTTTAATAAATTTATAATTAAAATTATGAATGTTAATATATTTTAAGTGTATTTTATATTAATATTTTTTAAACGAGCTGGCTTGCGAGATAATGAGTCTAATCAGGGTTGACTCAAACTTGACTCTTTAGCTTATTGAGCCAATATCAAATTGAGCTTAAACCACCCCACGAATCAGCTTGACTCACTTGCACCTCTAATCTTTACACAACATATGCAAATCGGTTTGACGGATCACTAGCTTGTGCTAAGTTGATTTAGGCTTAGTTTGGGATGGCTTTCTTCTTGCTTCTTAAAGTGATTTTTAAGTTTTTTAGTACAAAAATTAAAATATTTGTACTAAAAAGCCGCTTTAAGAAGCAGTAAGAAAGCCGTCCCAAACGAAGCCTAAAAAAATAGTTAAAACCTGAAAAAAAAATAAAATTATCCACTAATTGTTCATTTTTATTATTACTTTTAATTTTAAACATTAAATAATAGTCGCCTAAATTTCTCGATTACTCTTATTCGCTGGTCCAAGCACGTGACAATCACGTGGCTCATCTTCATTGGACCACCACGCATATCACGTGATGACGCCCTACACCCAAAACTGAAGGGACAATCAGAGCAGCAACCAATAATTTATAGAAATAAATTCCAGCCGTCCGATAAGGATCCACCATAGCAATCAATTCAACAGAAAACAAACGGCAACAAGCGTCGTTTAATCGCCGTCAACGGCGCTTCAACAGACCTCATAGTCCTGGAAACTCATCTCCGTCGAAAAACCCGAGGAGCCGCCGTCTCCACCGCCGCCACCGCTGCCTCGGAGTATGAGGAATTCTTTTTGTCGTCGAAGTTCCATGACCTTTCGATGCGAATTGGAGTGCTGCGTTAGAACAAAAGTGGGACTCGCCGCCGGCCTGTACTCCGGCACGAGTCGACCGGACTTGAACCGAACGCCGCAGGCATTGCAGAGAGTCTTCGGCCCGAGCGGTCCAGTCCGCCACTGCGGAGTTTTCTCCGACGAGCAGTGCGTGCAACGCCGTGCGCCGCTCTCGTTATTCCCTTGCTTTTTCTTGTTGATTACATTCGTTTTGGCCTTTGGGAAGTCGGATGAAGAAGAAGACGATGATGATGAAGAGGAGGTGGAGATCTCAGGAGATCTATTGATCCCGGAAGCAAGGGCGTGAGTAGAGATCTCTGAAGATGGGTAATTACTGTTTTCCGACATTGTCATATCGGGGAGGGAGTAATGGTAAGGGGTATCGGAGAAGGAATCCTCCATGAATTTGGAGAGCCATTCGAGCTCCGCCGCCTCCTCGCTCTGCAACAAATCAAAATTTAATTTTTATCCCTTGAAATTCTTACAAATATGCGATAAATAAGTCCAGAAACAAAAATGTGTTTTTTTTTTCCGCATAAATTTCCCTTTTTTTATCAATAAATTCATCCACTTTTCAGAGAGCTCTGCTTACAGGAATGCAGATGTCGTCCGGCAAGGAGGCATCGAAGCCAACGGTGGCAGCGACGGAGGCAGAGGAGGAGAACTCCTGGCCAGCGGGGAGGTGGAGGGCGGCTTCGTCGGTTGGGACGGAGGAGGAGGAAGAGGAAGAAGAAGGGAAGAGGTCATGGTTGGTGAAGTCCAGGAGTTCGTCGACTCTAAGTGATTCTGCATTAGGCATACTGTACATATAAGCCGGACTTGCTCCGGCGAACGTCGCCGGCGACGCCGTCATTTCCATTCCTTTTCCCATACCAAAATCTATCTCCCAGCCAGTTTCCATCATACACAGTAAAGATCAAAAGCTGAAGCAGGGATAGGTGGTGAGAAGCAGTGAGTGTAGGAAGAGTGAAAGCGAGAGTAAGATAAATAGCAGGAGAATAGGAGAAAGAATCTCTCCATCCATGATCCACCAATAGAAGATCATTTTCTAATAATTTTTCTAATCAGTCGATCGGTGAAATATTTCTCAGCACTTATCCAGCTGAGCAAATTAAATCACAGTAGAATTTCTATAAACCAACCCAATTGTATTTGCTGTAAATGTACATAGTTATACTTATCAGCGCCAATTTAATTATAGACATAAAGTAAAAAAAGAGTTTAGTTTAGTTTAATTTTTTAAAAATAGTATTTCATTGTTAGGATTAATAAAAAAATCATCAAATTAATAAATTTGATTATAATAAGAATATTGAAAGTCAACTTGAAATTAATTATATTTAAAATTCATTTGTGATAGCTTTATTAATGTTTCTTAAAGTAGCATTGTAGCAAAAAAATTAAAACTTTAGTACTAAAAAGCTGCTTTAAGAAACAACAAGAAAGTTATCACAAATGATACTTTAGGCTTCGTTTGAGACGACTTTCTTACTACTTAAAATAGCTTTGTCGTATAAAAATTAAAATTTTGATACCTATAAACAACTGTTTTACGAAATAGTAAGAAAGCCGTCCCGAACGAAGCTTTAATCTAATTAATCTAAATTAAAGCTTTTTTATTTGAGTTATAGAAATAAAATTAAAAATAGATACGAAATAGCAACATGCAATAGTAATGGTGGGGATGGAAATGCATTGAACATTGTGGCTTGTTTTGATAAATGCTGGCTCTGTAAGAAATAAATTTGCTGTTATTGTCATTAATATAAAGAAACTGCAGCAGAATTGCTGTAATTTTAATCAAAATTTATATTATATATTTGTCATAAAAATCAGAGCTTTTTCGAAGGTCTCTTTCTGCATGTGAGTTAGGACCCCCACCACACAGCCACAGTCGACTCTCGAGAAAGTGAGAAACAAAGCCATTCCTTTCTGTACGTGCTAACTAATCTTTCAACAATTTTCATAGTTTTTATTAATTAAATGTATTATAATGTTCGACTCATATATTACTCATAATAAAGTTTTAATATTTAAATAATTTTATATAATTATAGAGTCAACTCATCAAGATACATTGCTCATTGAACTCATGCTGTCTTTTCCATTTTTTTTTATAAAAATGGAGGTTTTCATAATTAGTTTCAATTATTTTTATTTATGATGAAAAAATAGTTTTTTTACTATGTATAAAAATATAATTAAAATCTATTTGGATGAATTACTTTTTTTTTTTGGTAATTTTTGAAAATAAAGAGCTATCAAATTATAAAATAAGCATGAGTGGTGCCCAGTGACGGAGCCAGAAAATTTATTGAGGCGAGGCCTAAATAATTTTATTAAAATTTTCCCTCAACTTTTTTCATCCGAGCTTGGGACCGGTAATGGCAGTTTTAAAAATTTTTGTTCAATTATTATCCAAAAATATATAATATTAAATATAAAATAGTAAACAACTTACAATTTATAACGTCTACTCTTCATATTCTAAAAGAGTTGAATGGTTACTTTATTATCATTATAATCTAAAAAAATTCTTCTCAATATAAGCAATTAATAAATCATTCATCCATTGATCTCCAATCTTATTTCGCTATCGATTTTTAAAAAAATTCATGATAGAAAATGCTCTTTCGACTCCTGCTGTAGCAACGGGTAATATCAATGATAGTTCCGATAGTCTAAAAGCAATGGGATATATATTATCTTTTCTACTTTGAATCGTTTTCTCAACAAGGCTTTTTATATCTTTCAATGAGTATAATTGATTATCAAATCGCATATCCATAATATAAGTATCAAATTGATTTTCAAGAACTGCCCGATCAAGAAGACTAAAATTAGTTGGATAAAACTGTGCCATATAATCAGCTTGTCTTTGTTGAATGTATGAAATATGTTATTATGATTCAAACATGTCATACTTACACAAAAGTAGCTCAGTATTTACTTCTCTAAAATGATTGTTCATCTCTAGAAGTTGCATATCAATCGATTATTGTTCACTACAGGAAAACAGCTCATTTACGACAGAATTTCCAGCGGACAAAAATTCGTCGCAAATTCCGGCGGATTTTCTGGCGGATTTCAGACGGATTTTTTTCAACGAATTCCCGACAAAATTTTTGACTGGTTTTCCGACGTATTTTTCCCGAATACATTTCCGGCGGAATTTCCGGCGGATTTCCGATGGAAATTAAAAATTAAATATTTTTTATTTTAAAATATAACTTAAATTATTTAATTTAATAACTTAAATTATAATAAAATAAATTATAATTTAATTATTTAAAAACAAAAAAAAAGATTTAAATTTAAACTTAAATTATAATAAAAATTTAAAATTATTTATTTTTGTTAAATTAAGTTAATTAATTTAAATTTTTTTTGTTAAATTAAATTAATTGATTTAATAATTAATTTGTAATAGGTTAAATAAAAAAAAACGTAACAAGGAAGTCATTTAACGACGCGCGTGAAACCGGCGAAAATATTTCGGCCGGAAATCCGCCGGAAATGCAATTTTCTAACGGATTTTGGCCATTTTCCGGCGAAAATGGCCGCCGGAAAATGACGTTTTTCCTGTAGTGGTTTAGAAAATTTCAACTCGAAAATGATATAAATTTGTTATATTTTCAGCTCTACCGTGAGGTCGGCCACGAGCAACCCATTTATCATCCATATGTATTACATTTATTTTATGCTGCTAAAAAAATGAAGTTACATTACCAATGAAGTCAGCTCATTTGTTATCTCTCATATCCTACAGTCTCAGTTTACATATACGCACCAACGACATAGCATTTACAATATCTTGAAAGTTGTACATCTTTCATTAAATGTAATAGCTCATTAGATGATACCAAGTACATCTTTTATTAAATGTAAGCAAAATGAAATATCAAAAGTCTGTAACAGTTCTAATAACGCATACGCCTCATCTTTTTGTTCTGAACTAACACCATCTTCTAAAATGATTTCAAGAACATGATCAATCACTGTAGAGAACATTGTGATTAACTTCACAATTGATTCATAATGTGAATCGCACCGTGTATCGCCTGCACGTCTAAGAGTTATTTCTTGATTTAAGCCTCACCCAGTTAATAGTTTTTCACTTTGTAAGTCATTTAAAACCTTCTCATGTTGCAGTTCTCGGAGCTGATCATGATGCTTACAAGAAACCCCTACAAGATTCAACACACTTAAAACAATAGTAAATAATAAAGCATTATGAACATGACTTTTTGCAACAACCACCAATGCTAATTGCAGCTGATGCGAGAAGCAATGAATGCAATGTGCTGGTTTATTTTCATTCAGAAATAGAGCCTTTAGACTATTAAACTCTCTCCTCATATTGCTAGCACCATCATAACCTTGACCCCTTATTTTGGAAATACTCAAACCATATATTGATAAGAGTTGTTCAATAGCCAATTTAAGACTATTGAAAGTTGTATTTGGCACATGAGAAATCCTCAAAAAACGTTCAACTATCTCACCATTCTTGGTTACAAAATGAATTATAATTGCCATTTTCTCTTTAGTAGATGTGTCGCGCGATTCATTAACTAAAATTGAGAAAAATTTATCACCTATTTCCTTAGATATTAAGTTTTTGATTGCAATAGCAAATGCTCTTGTAATATCTTTCTGAATGTCAGACATAATTAATTTTAAATTTTCAAGTGCACTTTAGTACAACATCTTCAATGTCTTTATTATGTTTAGCTAGGAACTGCAGTAGCTAACGAAAGTTACCCTAATTTTTGGATGTACAAGACTCGTCATGTCCTCAAAAAGCTAATCCTTATCTCAAAAGAAACCTTATGCAATCAACAGAAGTATTGAGACGGTACGGTATGCAATTGTTGATTGATCTGTTTGCTTTTATAAAACAAATCCAATATACTAACTCTATTTCATTAGATCTTCACAATCGTCCATTATTATGCACACTATTATAACTTCCATCATGAAGATCAAAATTATTTGTCTTTTTCTAATTTGAAAATCCATTTTTATTAAATGATTCTTCCTCTTCATTGTCTCTGACGGAAATTTTATAAAGATAACAATATAGGCAATATGCTCTGTCTTTACATATATTGTACTCTAACCAATCAGAGTATTTATCAAACCAAGCTGGATTAAAACGTACGTCTGTCTTTCATTCCACATTTAATTTTAGGAAAGTCATGACTGTGAGGTTAAAATGACCCCTCTTTGTAAATATGTTATACGAACTTCATCTCGAATATTAGGATTAAAGTCAATAATAGAAATTTGTTGGTCTGGATCAGATGGAGATTTTCTACACTTCCATATTTTTTTGTAAATCAACATCCACTCAAATTTGTTTTTCATTTTGCTCTTTAACGTTATTTCTATTTGCATCCATATTATTTGATATGTTTGAAATCGACGATCGCTTGAAATATCTTTCCATGATGTTGAAAACTAAGATATAAAAATCAAGGCTTCAAAACATAATAGCACATTCAAACAACTCCACAGGAGCAATTCTACTAGATTTGAAGTAAACTAACATATGTTTTAAATCACTAACTCAACAATAACTTGATTTTTCATTTCGGTAAACTAAAAAAAAAAATCTTTACCTCTGTAAATTGGCCGAAGATTCCAAGCAACACACCGTGTTTTATCCCAAGCATAACGTACAAATTTGACACAGGAGACGCCTGCTTTTAACCCAACTATGTAAACTGAAATCATTGCGGTGATTTCAACACTAACTTGATTTCTCATTTCGGTTAATTGAAAAAAAAAAATTTTACCTCTGTAAACTAGCCGGAGAGCCCAAGTAGTACGCCAGAGACTATCGCAAGCAGAAAGTACAAATTCGATGCTAGAGACGTCGTCCTTTTAACAGAAATCTGTAAACTAAAATGAGAAACCATATCGTCGGTGAACAACATCAAGTGTTCAGCGATATGTATGTCGCTGACGTCGAAAATGCTGAATATGTGGTAACCCCATTGCTGTTGGAAGAAATGAGGAAGAGAGCTCGCTGGCCGTCGTAGTTC